CCTGGCGCAATATGGTTCATGGGGTCACGAAGAGTCGGACACGACTTAACGACTGAACAACAACAAAAGGGTGATAAAGGCTTCATCTTTATCTTTCTGCTCCCCTATAAGATTACAAAGGGACAAGAGTTCTTTTAGTTTGCTTTTCTTTGTTAAGTACAGTAGCAGTGTTAACTATTCTTTCTGAACTGTGTGTGTTTTAACATACATGATAAAATAAATCAGATATTCTCACTTCTTTTGCGACTAACTTATCCAGTCTTGAGGAAATGCTGTGATTTTTATGATGGTCATAACTTCAAAATACTAAGTTTATATTATTGGACATTATGTAGAGTGATTATGAAAACGAGTAAGTTGAAATACATTAACTTCACTGTTTTCAGTAATTTACTTTGACACTCGTTTCAGAAGGAGAACATGCTGAAAGAAATCTCCATCCTACTTCCATGATGCTGACCAGCACAGTGAATCTTCTGCAAACTCTCTGCCTTTCTGCTGGCCTTCACGCTGAAGTAATGCAGAATGAAGCAACAAGAACTTTGTGTGGATTGCTCCGTATGCTGGTAGAAAGTGGCACGACAGAGAAAACATGTAAATCCAGTTTATTATATTCTTGCTTTCTGTGTGTATTCACTATCCTAATATCAGAGAAGAATGCTATGTATTTATTTAGTTTATTCATTCAGTTTGTATCCTAGCACAATCCAGTAAGATCTTCGGCATTTCACAAGATCTAGACAATGCCTAAATAATCCACATATTTTAAAAAAAATAGGTCCCTGGGAATTATACTCCCCTCTAAGGAATAATAATGTCAATTAATTATATTAAATCATATTAACTGCACAATCTGCAAATTCTGTACTGAAGAGCATTGTTTTGAATGTTTTTTCTGAATGAAATCAGGGAGGGGACCAGCCTGATTTCAATGGGGAGGCTGTTTCAGAGAAGGAACACCTCTGAAAAGCAGTGCATTCTAGCTTTTGCCCTTTACTTCCCGGAAGAGTGGCACTACTAGTTGTTTTTTCTGAGATGACCACACTGGTCAAGCTGATACTAGTTCGTCTGTGCAGTATGGAGGTAACTCAATACCTGGAAGCTTATTAGAAGCCAGTGCAGAGCTCAAAGCAGAGATGTAATGTGCCCCCCACCAACAGCTGCCAGTTAGCATGTGGGCTACCACACTCTGGATCAATATAATTTCTGACTAACCTTTAAAGGCAGCCTCATGTAGAATGCATTTCAATAGTCCAGTCAGATCATAATGAGGGCATGAGTTGCTGTGTCTTAAAGGGAGAAGAATGTTAATCCTTTACAGAATGAAAGGGCTTGGTGTAACTTCCTTTTTAACGTTTCACTTTTATAACTGTTTGTTAGATTTAGTTGTGATGTTTAGCTACATCACAGTAAAGTAAAATGAAATACAGAACTTGATTCTAAATTAACATAAGTAAAAACAGGTGGGTTGTAATCTAGTTGGTGTCTCTCTGATAAAGGAAAGCTTCAGTTAGCAAAAAGAAAAGGGGAAGAAGTCTCTTGCCTTTAAAGCCCATATTCCCCAACTTTTAGAGGAGCAGAGAGTGGAGAGCAAGAGGAATTTCTACTGTGTGATCAGAAATATGCTTAAACAGTGTTGATTATTACCCAGAGTTTTATATCCTGCCCTTTTTCCCTTACAACATTCCAAAGTAATAAGACTATTCTGTGTGAAGAAGTTGACTTATTTTAAAGATACAATTTTACAACAACGAACTCAATGCTAACATGAACAAATGTAATAATACATTTGTTCATGTTAGCATTGTAACATGCTAACATGTAATAAATGTAAGAATAGTTAAGTGTTCATGCAGTTGTTAATTATTTCCAGCCTCCTTGCCAAATACATTAGTTAACAAAGAGCAGCACCGGAGCTGGTGTACATTGGGATTCATCCGAAGTATAGCACTAATGCCTCAAATGTGCAGCACTCTTAGTACGTCACAGTGGATAACGCTGCTAATGAAAATTGTAGAGGGACATGATTCATTCACTGCTGCATCTCTCCAACGACAGGTAACAACATATAATGTTCTAACAATCAGTGGCTGACTGATGGTATAGTTTTAAAGCTGTCTTTCATATCTTTGTTGTAATTTAGAAGCAGGTGTCTTAAAAGATCAGGCAAGCAGCATGAAGATGCAATGTGGCTTTGTCCCTGCATTTACCTTAGATATGAGAGAGGCATTAGAGCTGTGGCAGGTTGGACCTAAAATTGTTGGTTAAGAGTGCTTAAGATATGGCAATATATGTATATGTGCAACAAACACTAAATCCCTCTCTTTGTTTAGGAGGAGATATTTTGTCCTGCAAACCACTTTTCAAAACATGGGGGAGTTGTAAGCATGTGCCATGGCAAACCTGCTTTTCAAAGAATAAAAGTGGGGAAGGGACCCTCTGAGCATGTTGAAATTTTGAAGACTGGCTGTGACTTAATACTGTATTTATTCAAAAGGATGGTTAGATTTTTATTTTTCCTCCTGTGATGGAGGGTGGGGCATCGTTGCTGAGTTTGACACATTGTCAAACTGAATGAATGGTTCAGAGTTGGAAATAATGAAACGTGTCGTTGAAATAGAGGCAGGAGAAAGTGATGAAGGCGCTGTCATCCCTTCAAGTCGGATAGGGATAAGCACGCTAAGTCTGTCTACCTCTCCTCACACTCCATGTGTAGAGGGCAAGTATCTGTACTGGAAAGCTTCCTCTTTCCTTGAAGGTTCTTCATGGAAATGGAGATTTGGGGAAATTAGAACCTCAATTGGTGAAAAGCTTCTATGAAAATAGAGATTTTCATTGCAAATGATCATCCTTTATGTGCACAGGGGAACAAGATGAGAATGTGGCCAGCATGCTGATTGAAATAGAAAGTCTATTTCCTAGGACCACTGAACTCAATAGGGTTTATGACATACCATTTCCTTTCTGAAAACTGAAGAGAAAACAGCTTAGTATTGCAAGGATCTCTTTCACAGTTTCTGTTCCAGCACACCTGGCATAAGCTGGGTTAAATAGACCCACCTAACACAGCAATAACCTAAACATACTCATCTGAGGGTAAGAACCATTGAAATCAATGGGACTTCCTGCAGTTTTTAATTTAAGCATGCATACATTTGTTTGCTGACTCTAGATTTCTACAAGCAGTCTCTCTTTCAGGAAAGTCTGTATACTGGTGTGTTTGAATGTGAGATAATGGCTTGAATGTGTGGGTGCATGTGGAACTTTAATTAATTTTACAAATGGAGTGTTTGGTTTAGAAGCAATTATTTTTAACCAGTAGACATTAGTTAATTTTTTTCCTAGCCCTGCCCAGAGGCATCCTCAGGATCTGATGCTTTTGTCAAAATGATGAAAGAGTGTTGCACTGTTGTGATGCAAACATTGCCCCTTTTGTATGTTTGTGTCACATCACAATGCGTGTACAAAATGGGTACAGCTTGTGTTGCAACGGTGTGATGCCATGTTCGTCATGTTTTCCCTCTTTCACTGCAGACATCTCTGGCTCTACCTTTTTATGGAAAGTGGCTTCTGACGATTGCATTTATACATATGTCTATATCACGTTCATATATAGTAGAATTACAGTATGCATACATTTACTGGGGAAAAAAATCTCAGGAATGGTTTCAGTACGTTTTGGAAGTTAGTTGTCGAGGCAGGAATTTTGTATGTGTTTATAATATTTGGGAAATTGCAGAGATTATAAATTTCCTTTGGGCAGTCACCTTAAATTCAGAGTTGGCTTCCTTTCAGATGAACATGGCAGCTCTTGACTAAAGTGCTGCCTGTGAGATTTAAACCCATAAAACTGGACAGCTTGCATGGATACCGTCAGCAGACTCTGTTCCTGCCACAGACATCATCAGTACATTTTCTTTGCATTTTGTACTTGGCATATTTATAAACAGGGGAATGTTGTAGATATTTTTGTGTAAAAGAAAGTGTGTATATCCTTACAAATATGAAAATGTTTTTCTACCTGTGTGCATTTCTTTTTTGATGCCATTTTGTTTGTTTTTAGATCCTTGCCGTGCATTTATTACAAGCAGTACTTCCTTCTTGGGATAAAACAGAAAGGTCACGGGATATGAAATTCCTCGTGGAAAAATTGTTTGGGTTTTTGGGTTGCTTGCTTACTACCTGCTCTTCAGATATCCCACTGCTCAGAGGTAAGAGAATATTTTGTCTTCACTCTTACAGTTTTTGGTGCATTCATTCTTCATGGTTGTATCTTTCTCTGAGCTTTCCTTTTTTTCTTCTGTATGTTTGCAGAATCTACTCTGAGGAGGAGGAAAGCCAGGCCTCAGGCCTCTCTGACTGCAACTCACAGCAGTACCTTAGCTGAAGAGATTGTTGCTCTGTTGAGGACCTTGCATTCATTGAGCCAGTGGAATGGACTCATAAACAAGTATATCAACTCTCAGCTAACCTCCATCACCCACATCTTTGCAGGAAAAGAGTCAGAAGGGGTAGTTCCCACATCTTTACAATCAACTCATTTCTTGTTTTTAAAAAGAAAACAATTCAATCAATTATCGCTTTTTCAATTTGCACTGTAATAGAGTTTTTAAAATCCTTTCTTAAACATTGAATTTGCCTTAGTATCACATATGTGCACTGATTTTAGAAATATTTAAATCTATGTTTTTTAAAATATATGTATGTATGCTCTGCAAGGGGAACTGCTGCTTGTGGTTTAATTAGATTGTAATCATTTTTACTAGGCTGCTTTGGAAGGCTGTTTCCCTGATTCTGAGACTCCAGAAGTGGGAGGCCTGATGGCAGTTTTGGCAGTTATTGGTGGAATAGACAGTCGGTTGCGGTTAGGCGGCCAAGTAGTTCATGACGAATTTGGAGAAGGCACAGTGACAAGAATTACTCCAAAAGGGAAAATCACAGTGCAGTTTTATGACATGAGAACCTGCAGAGTTTGTCCTTTCAGTCAGCTAAAACCAGTGAGTGCATTTAAATGGTGTTGGGACATTGAGAACAAGCAAATGTGATGGTTTATATAGTAGTTGGGAAATGTTTTTGTGGATAAGAAGCAGGAATGGGTGTATCCTGAATCACTATAACTTAAATGCTGAACCTCTTGAACTGAGCATAAGATCTTGCTGCTCTGACAAGATGGTGGCTACTGATGTTTTATGATACTTGTAATTTCACAAGCAGGTTTAAGTCTTCTGTGAGAATCTTTAGTCTACCTTATCCATTTTGCTTAATTTTTTTTCACATACTCAAGTTTGTATCTTTAAAATCTGAGAACTGCATTTCCCAAATTTGGGAAATTCCCAAATTTCCCACCTCGAGGATATACACACACAGGCATGTGTGTGTATATCCTTGAGGTGACTCAGTAGGTTTCTTTTTGAGAGAAAAAAGGTAACCTTGCTGGATATACCTTGGGTTTCTTCTTTCTAGAAATGGGAAATAGTTATTTCTGATGAAAATAAATAAATCTTGCTGTTTAAATTATAATGAAATTATATTGATAACATTCTTTAAAATTTGTTTTCCCCCTTAGGTCCCTGTGATTCCATTTAATGTGAATAACTTGCCCTTCACTGAACCCATGCTTTCTGTCTGGGCCCAGTTGGTAAATCTGGCTGGAAGCAAAGTTGAAAAACACAGAATGAAAACTCCCAACCAGGGCCTTTCTGGTATATATTTCTCCATTTGAAAGTATTCTTCTCTCTAAGATAACAAGACTAATAAACTGGAAATAAGAAATGTAGTTGGTCTGAAGAGGGTTAATGCTTTATTAGCATTAAACAGAATTGCTCAAGGATTATTTTAAGCCAAATTTGGGCAAAGGCCCTTCTAGCCATATCCTCTGTTTGCTTATCCAGCAGTAACTCTGAATCAAAGAAGACCTCCAAGTTATGGATTTGCTCCTTCAGGGACAGTGCCTTTCCTTCAAAAAGCAATCTCCAGAGCTGATAGAGTTGATGTTTGTACGTCAAGGTTTTCTATCTTGTTTGAGTTTAGCTTCAGTCTGTTTTATCCCATCCAGTCTCCAGCAGCTTCCAAATACTGGGTCAGGAATTCAGTATTATATTCAGATCAGACCAGGGTGATGTTGTACAACTGAGTATCAGCAGTACATTGATGGTATCTTATCCCAAACTGACAAATGACCTTTCTCTGCAGCCTCACACAGATGTTAAAAACTAGGGAGGACATGACTGAACACAGAAATGGCCATCAGGCTGACTTCTCCCTCCTCCCGCATTGATTAGAACTGCCCACTAAGGAAGGAACTGGAGCTACTGTAGAACAGTCCTTCCAATATCTAGATGGAGAATGGTACCACCAAAGGGTCTAATAGGACCAGAAGGGAGAACTACCCCCATCCAGATCCTGACAGAGGTCATCAACCAAAGTTACCAATGCTATTTCTGTCCCATGTCCAGATCTGAAATCTGAGTGAAAGTGGAAAAAGGGAGAAAGGTAGTTTAAAATTTAAACTTAAAAGTTAAAAGTTTCCCACAAGAAGTTTTTAATCTGAACAGATTTTCAGTGGGCAAGATTAGAGTTGTATTCCTATTGTTTTTTTAAGGTAATTTATTTTAATAGTTCTAGAAATGTTTTAAAAATCATTCTGTTTAACAAATTTCTGTAATTTCAACATGAACATCTTCCCCATTAATTTTTGAAGCCCTTGGGTAAAAATCAGAGAACAGCAGTTGGTGTAAAGTTTACATTGTTTCTAATGGCCTGAATAGTCAACATATTTCGAGATTTTTCATTAGAACATAAGCCACTTGTTCCTTTTCTTCCTGTTGCAACACAGCCAACTCAGAAATTCAGATAGAAGGTTTTGAATGGAGCTACATAGTTCCAGGCTTGAAACAAAGCATGTTTTCTCTTTCTTGTTTATCCCTAATGTTTCCTATTACTTGTGCTAACAAATGCCTGTAATATGTTTTGAACAGGACAAATAGACTTGGATCTGTTGAGATGCCAGCAATTAAAACTATACATATTAAAAGCAGGCCGAGCTCTGCTTTCTTACCAGGATAAATTAAGGCAGATCTTATCTCAACCAGCGGTACAAGATGCTGGCACAGTTCCCACAGGTAAAATTCCACTTAATCACCTTTTTAGAATTTTCAGCAATTTTTTCATATTTCTTTCTGCTCCTACTTAAATAGGCAGCATAATGGAGAGGGAACTGTGTTTTTGATGATTATCTTTTCCTGTTTCTCCTCATGGTAAATTATCTGGTTTAGAATTGTCAAGCAGTGTACGCTTACGTCCAAACTTTCATTAATGTTTTTGATAGCAACAGGCTGTTCCTTTTCAAGTATAATGTTTTGTGTTTGTAGATAGGGTTCACTAGTTGCCCCAAAATAGATTTGTTGAGAGAGTAGAGAAATGAGGTAAAAAGAATAGGTCATGTTTCACTCATCCATTAAGTGGAAGGGGTATGTTCTTTTAGTATTGGGAGTTAGACTTATATGGGGCCATATATTCTTACAAAGGAGGAAGGAAGAAAAAAAAGATTAACGGGAATGACACCAGCATTTCACAATATAAGGTGGCCTGACTATGCTTAATATATTTAAACAAAATAGATGCCAGGGACACAATATGAGAGACTGAAAGAGCATCCATAGATATTGCTAGAATTATTTCATCAATAAAGCATTAAATTTTTAAACCACACTTCCTTTGAATAGTTTAGGAGATATCCATGATTATTTTCCTTTTTATCCTCAGGCAATGTTATGTGATAAGTCTACTTGGTCCTCAATTTTGTGGCTATCTAGGGATTTGAACTCAGGTCATCTTAATTTTAGTCCAACCAGTATATCACAGAGGTTCTCATTCAGATGCTAGTTTCATCATATAAAAGAAACTCTGTCTTTTCTGCTCTGTAACTCTAACTGTGGAATTCGACATGAGAAGGGTATTTATAATGTACAAACACACTGGTCCTGCCCCATTGTCCTCGTGTTTGGTGCTCCTTCAGTCTTGGCCCTGCTGTATTTAAATTATGTAATTAAAAAAGATAATAGTATTTCTAGGAATAGGGATTTAAGCATAAAACTTGCCAGAAATAAAAAGCTTTGTGGCTCAGGATTACAGTAAGTAACATACATAAAATCCATTTATGAATTATAATTCTGTACTTGGACTTGTACTGAATCCAAAGTTGGGTTTCTCTTAACCTAGGTTTTTAAAAATAATTTCTTGTCTTTTTTGTCATAATAACGGTGGATCTCCTCAGTTTGATGGATTTTTTAAATTAATACTCTGTTCTGATTGATGATTCCTACTATATTGACTACTTTTGTTAAAAATTGATTATTGATTCCATAAACAGTTAAGATTATGTTATATGTAGTATTGACCTAATGTTATCTTGAGAATTCTTGTTCAGTTTTACATAGTATGTAAATCTCTTATTTCTTTTTGGTTCTTTTTTTCCTTCATAATTGTGCTATTAAATATCTGCTAAACTAAAAATATGTATATATAAAAATGAGAAAGAAATATTGGTTTGTATTTGAAATAAGACACATTATGAACTGTTACTTGAAAACTGTACAAGCTTCTGGGTTTTTGTTTTGGTATGGCTGTTCTACAACCTAAAATGCTTTTTTTGTTGGTTTAAGATGATGGTGCAGTGGCATCACCTGAGGTGGGAGACATGTCTCCCGAAGGGCCTCAGCCTCCCATGATCCTCTTGCAGCAACTGTTGACGGCAGCAACACAGCCATCTCCAGTAAAAGCAATATTTGATAAACAAGAGCTTGAGGTATTTTGGTTTAATTTTCCGTATTTTAAACTATATACTATTACTCAGGGCTGCTCAGCAACCTGCTAATGCTTTGTACGTTGTTGTTTGCATGCTTAATAAATTTACGTTGTATCCAAAGTGATTTGGTTGCTTTAGGTGAGCCAGGTTTTGGCCACAACAGATCATATAGTTTCATATCTTGACTTCCTGGCATTTTGTCTGTTATTTCTAAGTATGCCATAGGATTTGTGGCTAAGTCTGCTATAGGATAAATGACAACGTCTGCATGCATTGTCCTCTATGTTACTTTGTGTTACATAGAGCTTTGTATATAACTTCCTGTAGGCTGCTGCACTGGCTGTATGTCAATATCTGGCCGTAGAATCTGCGCATCCTTCAACTCCAGTCTTTGAAGAATGTAGCTCCAGTGAAGCTACAACACCTGTTACAGTCCAGCATATCAGACCTGCAAAAGTAAAAAAATGCAAAGTATCTCCTATTCCACCACTCCCAATTGTTGTACAGCTTATGGAAATGGGATTCCCTAGAAAGAATATTGAGTTTGCATTGAAATCACTGTCAGGAACCTCTGGAAGTGCTTCTGGATTACCAGGTAACTCGTGTTTTTAGTATCCACAGTATACTATGGAAGCTATGGAAACTTTGATGGAAACTCTTTGTTTTGGAACTGATGGTCAAAATAATACAGTGGTAAATATAAAGACTGGGTGGAATAGTGAAACTATTAGATTTGGAAAAAAATATTGTGGAAGATGATTTGGAAAGGCTGAAAGAAGGTTCCCTTTTGCTTAATAACAGAGAAGAATGTGGTTGTGGGAGGGCATAGAGAGGGAATCAGGGAAATGGAACCAGGTCCATGTCCTCCTAGATGTTGATATGGAATGAGTCTAGAGAGAAAAAAAAAATGTTGATGGTGTCCCCAAGCTTGCATTCTTGAGACACTGAATGTTTACCAACTAACAGCAAAAATGTGTAGAAAATAAGATGCCTGTGAAAAGGCATAGATTTTGTTCTTCATTTATAAATTTTGATGTTAGCTGAGAGCTGAACAGTAAACATAAAATTAGGTGAAAGTTGTGAAAGTTTGGCAAAAAAGTATAATTGAAAACTATAATCCTTAAACATAAAATAATGATTTGAAATTGGTGAGCAAAACATAAAATAAAAGCATAGATTTAATAAATAAATAAAATAACTTAAAAGCTTCTATTCATATGAACAATACTGTTGATGTCTTAATCTAGGGGTAGAAGCCTTGGTGGGCTGGCTTTTGGATCATCCTGATGTTCAAATTACCGATTTCTCAGATGGTGACACTATATCTGATGAATATTCAGACGATGAAGTGTCAGAAGAAGTAGAAGAAGCAGAAGCTGCATATCCAGTGGTAAATATTAGGAATAACTACTTATGATTTTGCTATAATTTTTCTAACTTGCAAACAAAAATAGTGACAAGCTCTGTACAGTTGTTAATGAGATGACATTGTAGATCATTTATCATTTATATGATGACAACCAGAATATTTGTTTTCTTTATTGTAGTCTGCTGTTGTAACAGAAAGCCAGACATATAAGAAAAGAGCTGATTTCCTAAGTAATGATGATTATGCAGTATACGTCCGGGAGAATATTCAGGTAATCATGGCTATGACTGTAGTTCTCTTTCTTAAAGAATTATTATGCATATAGGAAAGTAGATAATATGGAAAATATAGATTAAGAGCAAAAAGCCATTTATGTTATTTCCCAGGTATTTCGATCTGTCACTTTGCCATTTGTGAAGGCACTGATACCTACATCATCCTGCTTCTGCTTCTGCTCTGCTTTTATTAGTGAAAGTGAATGGCAGAGCAGCGTTTATTTTATTTATGCTGCCCATTCTCAAAGGCTATGGATAGCTGATATTTTAAAATTACAAACCGGTAATTTAGGTAAAATGTTTCAGTGGCATCACTCAGTAGAATGGAAAAGATTCCTATATGAAAACCTGGACAGTTAATGCCTATCCATGTAGACAATATGTAGTTAGGTAGACCAGTGGTCTGATTCCATATAAGTTAGCTTCTTGTACTCATGAATATGTACAATAGACAGATTTTTTCATATGTTTTAAAGAACTTTCATAAGTTATAAAGTGTAGGATAGGAGTGGGCAATATGTGTAACTCCAGATACTGCTAGACTGTAGGTCCATCCCCTTGGCCATGTTGTTTATAATTCATGGGAGACAGAATTAAATGGGGCTGTAACTCTTCACAGTGTCCTCTGCAGTTCCCACATGCTTCTAAGAAAAAATGCATCTGCTTTAGAAAGTTCTAGATAAGTGTTATATTTATGCCCCATTGTGCTTTGAAAAATTATTTTGGAATCAAATCCAAAGCACAGCCTTAGAATTCAGCAACATCTGGAGGGCCACATGTTCTCTATTACAATAATGGGTCACCACAATAATTTATGTTGTGCTTTCAATAGTTGTCAAGTACAGAATCATGAATCACAGTTTAATCTTTATGAACATGTTATGGGAGACTCCAAATTTGAAAATATGAAAGTTGTCCTTTACTAGAGAACCTGAATAGAGTGTAGGAAATATATCTTAAGTCATTTAAAAGATTAGATGTTCAACTTTTGTATTTGAGAATTTGTAGAATAAGTGTATTTGCTAAAACATGTAGAGTTTTACCTCTGACATGAAGGCTGGAACACTAACTGCTTCAAAATCTTTTCTACTGGTAAAGTTTTAATATGTTCTTATATATATAGAAAATAATAGGTGGCACTACCTAGCTGATCTTGTCAAGGTATAGAAGCTAAGCAAGTTTGGGCCTGATTACTGCCAGAGAATCTCAGGGCTTTAGGCTAAAGTGGGAGATTGAAAAAGTTTGCAGATGAAGACACTGGCAAACTGCATGGACGCGTCCATGAAGTAATCAAGGGTTGAAGGTGACTTTACCTTTACAACATTTTGAACCTATAATTATTATTTGTGTGTGTGTGAAATAAACTAAGCTAAATATTCAAGAATATAGAGAAGGATGAAATAAGGAGTTGGAATACCATGAATGATAAAGGACGTGCATTTCAGCATTGGTATACCATATTATAGATTTAAAATTACAATGAATGTAGCAAAAATATTATTTTGTATCTATTGGTCATCTATGAATTCTTTTAGAAGGAAATTGATGGACTCAGTTAAATGCTGGCGATGTGCCTCGAAATGCAGCATTGGTTTATACGATATCATATGCTATAGTGGCTCCTTTTTGAGCAGTTCACATATTCATTTTGTTTTGGAAAAGTCAATGGGTTTTTATAGGTCATGCTATTTTGAATTGTGTGCCAATGATTTAGAAACTAACAAGAGAAAAAGACATGATACCCTTTGATTCACTAAATGATGCTGGAAGGATGCCCATTGTTGTAGGCTAAAGTAGTCACTTCTTGCTACATTTGAACAAGCATTTTGCTCTTAGGGGCCCCAACTGGAATTTCTGTTTAGAAATTTGGCCCCAATATGTTTAATTTTTGCCTTGAACTAGGAAGGGAGTAGGTAGAAAACGAATATTGTAAATAAATAAAATAAAATTATATATTTTTCTTATAAGTAAATTGATTGAAATTGTAGCAGTTTAGTTTATATATGATATAAAGACATCTGTAGCATAGGTTTGTTTAGTATATGAGATATTTTGTGAGCTCGTTCTTTTCCCCCCCCCCTTTAAATAAAGGCCATTGTAGAAAGATATTAGGGTTCCACATTTAGAGCTAAAAAATTTTTTTTTTCTCCCCAAATTGGTATGAAGGTGTTTTTTTATCTACAATTTTTCTCCTATTGTACTTTCTACTGTTACAGTTTTCCTTACTGCTTACAATATTACTTAAATGATTGAATATTCAAGTGCTACCTTGCTCCTCTCACTTACTTATTTTCATCTTAGGTGGGGATGATGGTTCGATGTTGCAGAACATATGAGGAAGTTTGTGAGGGAGATGTGGGTAAAGTTATAAAATTGGATCGTGATGGGTTGCATGATCTCAACGTGCAGTGTGACTGGCAACAAAAAGGTGGCACGTACTGGGTCAGATATATCCACGTTGAACTGATAGGTGAGTTGAATACATAAAGAATTATTCTAATTATAACTATAATGAGATATAATTTAAAATTCAAACCATTTGATATTACTGGTCTTAATACTTTATAGGATTCCCACCACAAAGCTCTCCGTCACACATAAAGATTGGTGATAAAGTTCGTGTAAAAACTTCTGTAATGACGCCCAAATACAAATGGGGATCTGTTACCCACAGAAGTGTGGGTGTAGTGAAAGGTAATGTGTACTTTTTTAAAAAGATAATGGATGGAGGCGTTATGAATAATTGCAGATGTTTTCACTGTTGTGCTGCCATAAAATAATATTCAACTGTGTGCAAAGCTTGATCTCCCTCTTGTTATTTTTCTCTAATAGTTTGTCCAATCATGTCTGTGTGCTAGTGGAAGACACTTCTCCTATGGGTGGTGATAAGTCCTTTTGCCAGTTTCTTTCCTTGTTCTGCAGTTATTTGTGACACATCTTGCGTTGTTCCAAAGTGTTTCTGAGTTGATGAAAAAGAGGAAGCTTAGAAAAAAAATATTGCCTGTTTAAATTGATCTTGGGAGCAGAATTGCTTGTTTGAAAAGAATGGAGGAATGAGATTGCTATAAATCAGTATTTTGGCTTATATCAAGGAACAGTTGCAAAGGAATGCAGTAGCAGTGCTTTATATTATTTATTTATTGTGGCTGGAATGATCCATTACCTGATCTTTATCCATGTTGAATAATGTAAAGAAGTTTGCTTGTTAGACCTGATGATGTTTCACTGAAATTTTTGATATCAAATGTTTGTTATAAAATGCTTTCAGATGAATTGCCACCTATGGGTGATAAATATTCCTCTTAGAATTATTTTAAAAATAACACTATTGATATTCCATCTGTTCATAAATTTGATGTGGATAGTTGGACTTAAATAACTCCTTTATTCACAAACAGAAAAAGAAGTAGTTTTGAGCCACTATAGTATTAACATTCCATATATTCCAGAAATTTTACAGGTACCATTTATAAGTACAAAGCATCTCAAAATGCAGTAGTGAATGCATGTTTATCCTCTGACACTTACTTTGTGTATATTTTTATATTCTTGCTTTTACTGGTGGCTTTGAGACATGTAGGATCACTGTATTTAAGTTCTTGAAATAAATAAATGAATAACTTTTAAATCTTTTCTTGCCAAAGCTTTTAGTGCCAATGGTAAAGATGTTATTGTTGACTTCCCTCAACAATCTCATTGGACTGGATTATTGTCAGAAATGGAACTAGTTCCCAGTATCCACCCAGGTGTTACGTAAGTTTTTACCATTTTTCTTCGACAATTTTTATTTTATTAGAACCTTTGCATCTTTCCTTTGCTATTTCTGTAATGTAAAATATAGTTTGAATTCCACAAGGTGGCAGTAGCTAAAACCCTGAAATAACAGAAATTCTTAACCTATAGAGATTGAAAAAGTATTCAAAATGGTAAATTGAGCATTAAAGCTAATATATTCATTTAATTTTTGTCATCATTTAGGTGTGATGGCTGTCAGATGTTCCCTATTAATGGACCTAGATTTAAATGCAGAAACTGTGATGATTTCGATTTCTGTGAAACCTGCTTCAAAAGTAGGAAACATAACACAAGACACACTTTCGGCAGAATAAATGAACCAGGTATATTTAAATAAATCAAATATATTTTCATTAGAGTTTCATGAAATGTTTCATTTATGTATGTTCCTAAGAACATATGTGTATTTTTTGAATTCCCAGTTTTTATAATGCACAAGATGAGTTTTATTATAACTTTTCATCCTAGCCAACTTTTCAGCTGTTTAAAATTCTTATGCACAAAATTATACAGTGAGGGGGTACGTATAAATACAGTTTGTTGAATGCAGTTTCCTTGCTTTTAGGATTGCATTTTGTACTGTTCAATTAAATATAGCTATCTTCCAACTTCCAATGTTTTAAAACAGGTCAGTCTCCAGTATTTTGTGGTCGCTCTGGAAAGCAGTTAAAAAGACGTCATAGTAGCCAGCGAGGCATGCTGCTTGATGACTGGTCCAGAATTGTTAAAAATTTGAATGTGTCATCTTCTGTGAATCAAGCTTCACGGTTGATTGATGGAAGTGAACAGTGTTGGCAGTCTTCTGGCTCCCAAGGAAAGGTAAATTTAAAAAGAAAAGGGTTGCAAATTTCCTCCACGTGTATATAATCTATAATTCCTCATAGTTTAAAGTGGCAGTAGATATTTTTTATCGTTTTTGTCTTTGAGTAAATGTAGTTTTGAACTCTACGAAGTAATACTGTTCAGATATAATTGCTGTTCCTAATATACCTTCAAAGGATTTGAATTAATTGAATGCAACATTTTCTAGCATTGGATACGCTTGGAAATTTTTCCTGATGTCCTGGTACACAGACTGAAGATGATAGTGGACCCTGCAGACAGCAGTTACATGCCTTCTTTAGTTGTGGTCTCAGGTATGGCATTACCATTGTTGAGTTCAGAAAGAAAGAAATCCCTTATTGATCTATCACCTCTTGGCTCTTCATAGTTTTGTAACACTGAAGAACTTCTGCAGTATATACATAATTCAGTATGGCTTTGTTTAATTTTTCTATAGGTGGCAGTTCTTTAAATAACCTCATAGAGTTGAAGACTATCAATATTAATCCTACAGATACAACAGTTCCACTTCTTGGTGATTGCACAGAAGTAAGTATCTGTTGATTATCAGGGAATGCAAGTATTGTACTTACAGAAGATAATATATTTTAAAGAAATACTAATACGCTGTTTCTCATATTCACAGCTCTTAATTTACTCTTTGTTTCAGCCAGTTTTTTATAATATGGTTTTCTGGTCTGCTTTTTTTTACTATGCATTTGATGGTTTAAAGATTTTACTGCATTTCTCACATTGGTATTAGTCATAATTCATGGCTGGTGATATTCCCGACAGGCTCCTGGTGGTATATACCATAAAATACATTATAAGATACAGAATAAAAAATTAGAAGGCAAACACTTTAAAATACCAAAATTATAGTAACGTAGGTGTCTCCTAATATAAGCGCTAACCATTAAAAGCTCTCCTAACCATCTCTGTTTTCACCACCATCCTAAATATAAGGAGGGAGGGTGTCACACAGATTTCTGGTAGAATGAGCCACAGCTGAAAAACAGTGACTTTTGACCTCTTCCCCCAAAAGCTCTCCCTAGGGTGAACTCTCAATATCCCCATGAGATACATGTGAACTAGACAGGTTCTGTCTGAAGCAGACTGTTCTGCAGGTTCATGGACACCAAGCCAGTTAGGGCTCTATAGGTCAAAACCAGGACTTTGAATTATCCCTGGAAGCCTATTGATAGTCATTGGTATTATATGTGAGAAACAGCTCTCACCCACTGACAGGTAGGCTTCTGCTTTTTGCCCTAACTGCAGTTTCTGAATATCTTCAGAGACAATATCTAGAACACATTGCAGTGATCTATGTGGGAGGGGACAAAAGCATGAATCACTGTTGCTTGGGCTTCTTTTTGTAGGAAAGGCTATGTCTGGTGTGCTAGCTAGAGCTAGGCTTAGATTCCCCCAGCCACTGCCTGTATCTGCCTACCTAGCAGCTAGGTATATGTAATGGTATGTGAGAATGACCTTGGGAGATGGGGAAGAGCCACAGCCAGGGGAACAGTCAGATAAGAGGCAGCTTAGCCCACAAAAGGAATGTGGGTGTGGCAAATGTCTCAGAAGGGACCCTTCCTGGTTTTTTGGGCTGTAAAAGCAATGGGGGAGAAATGTACTTTCAGACTTGCAAAATTGATGTCAGCCTTGCGAGGTAGTCCAGACAGGAAGCATGCCCAGTTGAACTAATTAATTAATTCTACTTTATTGTAGGCTATATTACCAGAATTTTGCAAGTCTGAAAGTACTTTTCTCCCCTACTGCCTTTACAGCCCAAGAAACTAGGGAGGGTCCCGTCTGAGATGCTTGCCATGCCCACATTCCTGCTGTGGGCTAAGCTGCCTCTTATCCAACCGTTCCCCTGGCTGTTGGTCTTCCCCCATCTCCCAAGATCATTCCCACATACCATTACTGTATGGGAATATATCCTGCAATAGGAGAAAGTAATCATTAGATTTGTTGGTGTGTTAGTCATTTATTTTCTATGACTTCATTTGATTTCACCAAATTTGTTCATGTTAATAGCTAATACATGTCTGAAGGGTAAGCTAAAGCATTTGTCTGATATGGTTTCTAATTTTGTGTCTTTTTTCTTAGTTAATTTGGGAAGGGATGTGAAAGGACCAAAGCTTTTTCCCTTATGCTAGCAAAACAGTTTTGTTAGAAAGATTAAGCAAGTCTTCAATCCTTTTTCTTAATGGTGTTGAACACTTTAAAGACCCAAACAATGGAAATATGAAAGCGTAACCTTTTTTTCCCCCAAGTATCACAGGTATATTGAGGTGGCTATTAAGCAGTGCAGGAGTTCTGGTATCGATTGCAAAATACATGGCCTGAGTATACTAGGACGTATCCGAGCAGAGGATGAAGACTTAGCTGCAGTTCCTTTTCTTGCTTCTGATAATGAAGAAGAAGATGATGATAAAGCAAACACTGGGAGGTATGGAATATTAAAACAATTCATCTTTTAAAAATGTTTCCTGTAATTGTACTAGATATTTTATGATATAAAATCCCACTGTTTGGTTAGCGCTAGCAGACTATGCGTTTGGAATATTTAAATCAAACTTTCTAATTTGATTTTATAACAAATTATGGCAACTGAGTAATTGTACTCTTAAGCATTTTATAACCCATTTCTAGTATACTCTACAGCTCATTTGAATAGTGTAACAAAATACAGAAAGATATGTTTAATGAGGAAGGGTTTGGAAATATGCACAGCGGGAAAAGGGATACGGCATAGTCTGGAAAGACACTATATTCAGTTATTTTGTTTTAAGGATTCTGCTAAAAGAATGGTTAGAATATATTTACTTTATCTGTTTTACAATATTTATAACCCACCTCAATTCAGGTGGATTCTGGATAGGGTACAACAAAGTCAAGACATAAAATTAAATACAAATCACAAAAATCAATAAAATCTAAGATATCATAGACACAATTCAATTAAACTAACCTGAGAGCCAAACACTGCCTAGGACAATGCTGCTTAAGTTGATTTTCAAAGTGCAGGTAGAGTACGGTCTGCCTGTACCTTTGTTAAGAAGGGGAAAACTGCAACAGCCTTCTTTTGATGACCAGACTGGACATCAAGATTTTTGCAGGTTTTGCCTGATATATCCCAGTGCTGCAATGTAAATAGCCTTAAAAGAAGTCTGAACTGGACTCAGAAACCAACTGGTAGCCAACTGGTAACTGGACTTTAAAATAGGTGATATTCTTGGTGGTGTTGACCCATCAGGAATGCAGCTGCTGCATTTTGTACCAACTGAAGCTTCTGAACATCTCCAAAAGCAGTCCCACATACAGCTTGTTGCAATAGTCCATCTGAGTGGTGATCAAAGCATGAGTTACTGTCTCCAGGGCATTGTACTCCAGATACGGCTGTAACTGGTACACCAGCCAAACCCTTCCCAGGCCATGATTTCCACCTGCTCTTAAAGCAGAAGCCAGGAGTACAGGAGAATCTGAAATCAGGAATGAACTCTTTGGGGGCAAACATAGCCTCATCCAGACTAACAAGCAGAGGAAATATTTCTAGGAAGACCTAACTTCTATTGACAACAAAGAACAACATCTTTGTAGGACTTAATCCAAGCTTGTTTTCCCCCATACAGATTCTTACAACCTACAAACACTGGTTCAGATTTTGACCGCATCTTTAGTTTGGCCCAGGATGGCAATATTGTAGAAGTCATGTCCCAAGTCTGGAGACTGTTAGGGTGTGGATAGGGAGAAACAGACTCGACTCAAACAAGATGGAGTGGCTACTGACTCAGAGGCCAACTGATTCCCAGATCTTTGACTCTTTATGAGATTTTGCTTCCTGCAGAAAGAGCAGGCTCATAATCTGGGGGTCTTCTGGGACTGAAATAACAGGTGGAAAGTATGGCCAAGAGAGCTTTTGAATAGCTTTGGTTGGTATGCTAGTTGCAGCCTTACCTGGTACAGGATGCACTGATACCTTGGCATCTCTCAGACTATTCCAACTCACTGTGCTTGGGCTGCTAAGGGTATCAGGAAACTTTAGCTAGTCCAAAATATAGCAGTGTATGTGCTTAGCAGTTGGCCTTGATACTGCTACATTACAGCTTTGCTGCAGTTGGTACCAACAGGTTTCTGAGTGTTGGTCACTACCAATAAAGCCCTATATGGCTCAGGGCCTGTATCTTAGAGAGTGCCTTTCCCAATAGTTTCTGCCCACCCCTGGATAACAAGGAAGTGCCTGCTGAGGGCTCCCACCTACCAGCAAGTGCAGTTTAAGGGCCTGGTGGCAAGCATTCTCTGTAGCAGCCCCCCTCCTCTGGAACAGCTTGCTTCCTGAAGCGTGTACAGCCCCCACCCCCATGGTTTTACAGACGTTAGTGAAAACATGGCTACAAGCCTCCTGGAGTCTGGGTGGTTTCAGGTGGTTGGATAAATTTTACAAATAAATACATAAATAATATTTTTTTGCACTAAGCACAAAATGAAAAGAAAAACTCTACATTCTCAACATCTGGGTTATAAGGGCTTAACCAGTCCCAAATCAATTAATAATATAGTTGTTGAGATTCTAGCTTGCCTTTTACTTGAAGAATAAGTTGAAATAGAGCTATTGTTACAAACAAAATGCTGGAAAATGGATGTCCATCCAGTATTATGGTGTCAAAGTTGTTGTAGGGGGACTGGGGGTCTTTGGCAATCATAAGTGTGGAACCAAAATTTTTTTCTGTAAAATTGCATGCTTAATGTGAATAATCGAATCATATAACATGACATGAATTCGTATGAAAGACCAGTGTTGGTTAACATATGAAAGAGAGATTCTTGTGATCTTTTTCTTCTTTCTGTTTTTTAAGCAAAGCAAATAAAAAGTGCTAGGAGATATCCTAGCACAAAGTTTCCAATCTAATATATTGTTTGCATTCTTAGTCTTGTTAGAAAGAAGACTACAGGCCTAGAATCTGCAGCTTCAATTAGGACCAAAGTCTTTGTCTGGGGCCTAAATGATAAAGATCAGCTGGGAGGATTGAAAGGTTCTAAGGTTTGGATCTTTAAAAATTAAAATGTATGGAAATTAATAGTGTGTTCCCTGATTTCAGTGGCATAAGCAAAGACATGAGAAGAACTAGAATGGTGAGTGGCACAGTAGTAGATGGCTGCCCAGGTAGCTTGTATGTGGATTGGGGCTTCTCGCTCTGGCTGCTTATTACATCGGATTTTGCATTTCTGCAGCAGTCTCAGATGTGGATGGACGAGACTGGCTGTATTGAGGATTCTGGTTCTGAAAATAACATGAGATCTAGAGCAGACATATGTAGATGTTTAGAGGCTTCTGTGGTTTACAAGTCAAAAGAATGCAATGTAATAAGAGCGTTTTCACTGGCATTTATTTCGAAATGGAGGATGCAGTACTCCTGTGGAATTTGCAGAATGGCTTGAATGGTCAAAATACCATTCAAAGTACACTAGGCAAAAAGACTAGAAAACTCTGCTCTAGTAATTCTACCCCCAAATACCATCCTTTCAAAGGAAAATAAAAATGGATATGAGCACTGCTCATCTATCAAAATGGATAGCAGAGCACATAGTTTGTAAGAACAATATGGAAAACAGGTAGTCCACTGGTTAAGAATGCCCCATTTAAAGATGACCCATAGTTAAGAATGGAGCCTGTTGTAGCAAAATTCGAGTTAAGTACACAGTGATTCAAATTAAATGTACAATGGTTCGAGTTAAGTACACAATACTACCTATACAGTATTATACAATAATACTGTTCCGGCTTACATACAAATCTGACTTAAGGACAGACCTTGGGAACAGAACTCGTTCTTAAACTGGGGACTACCTGTAATCAGAACATAGTGATGAATATCCAAAAAGAATACTAAAGGACTTAGATATAATTGATAAAATATTGAACATATTTTTCAAAATATTTATTTCTCAAGTAAGTAGCTGGGAGGAAACAAACTTAAAAAAACCCTCACTTAAAAGTACCTAAAATAGCCATCTGGATATAAAGATAATTGAATGTGAAAAACAATAAATCAATCTGCTTTAGCAGTGAATGTTCCTATTTATTTACATTTTACAGATCAAAGTGCCTTCTTTTTCTGAAACTCTGTCTGCTTTGAATGTGGTGCAAGTAGCGGGCGGTTCTAAAAGTCTTTTTGCAGGTAGGAAAGCTCTTTACTATGCAGTTTGAAAGTTACATTGGATGTAATTGCAAACAACTCCTTTTGCTTGTGCCATTTCATGGTCATGGAACCAAAATTACCTTTATGTTTTAGTGACCGTGGAAGGTAAAGTGTATGCCTGTGGAGAGGCCACGAATGGAAGGCTTGGATTAGGCCTCTCAAGTGGAACAGTTCCTATTCCCCGACAGATTACTGCTCTCAGTAACTATGTAGTCAAGAAAGTAGCTGTTCACTCAGGTATAAACTTTATATTTTTCTGTGTTTGAGAATCAATAATTAAGTGAAATGGAACTACCTTTGCATTGCCTCCTTATTTGCAATCCACTGTGTATTCTGGTGATGATTTGTAAGAAATACTTGGGAAGATACTTCTGTATGCATGCTAGGCTGGTCTTTTCCATGTTATACTCAGTCTAAGGAAATATGCACACAAAAGAGATATGAAGGATTTAGTCTTAGATTATCTCTGGAATGTTTCTTCTGATATGGAAAAAAGTATTTTGAAACATAGATTTATGTTTTGAAAATGGGGGTCTCTGTGCAGAAAACAATAAGCTCAACATATAGATAGAAAGGTCTAGATCTGAAAGGTTTTCTTGTCCTCGTTCAGAGCGGTTGAAAATACTTCTATTTACTGACACTGTATAAAATAGGTGGCTGTTGCAAACTCATTTGAAAAAGGACAGGAATATTTAACTAATTTGGGAATGGACTTTACCTTGAAAGTAAAGCACGTCCTTTCTCTGCTTAAGTTGGTACTCGTGCTGGCATTTCCTGTTAATAAGGTCTCAGCTAGAAGTCCTGGGAAATTTTCTTGTTTCAGTGATTCAAAGAACAGGAGGCTTTGATAAAATTAAGCCATGTGCAAAATGTATAAAAACAATGCATGTTTTTGTTTTTTCTTTGGTTGGAACCATTTAAACAAATTTTTCTCAGTATTATAGTTTGAGTTCAGAGAGTTTCAAAGGGTTTTCAAGTTTACTTTCTTCAGAATACAGTGCAATTCTCATTCAGTTTCAGTCTGACTTTACAAATTGAGCCAAATAAACTTTAATATTAATGAACTATTAGTGATGTGCCGTAAGGTCTTTTGTCATAAATGTGTAGCAAAATTAATGTTATTGACATATCTGTTGAAAGAGATTCGTTTTAATTGGTTTTTTTCCTCCTTTAATGCTACTTTCCCCCTTTCTTGTACTTCTGCTCATTTTAGGTGGTCGCCATGCTATGGCTTTAACTGTTGATGGCAAGATATTCTCCTGGGGAGAAGGAGATGATGGGAAACTTGGACACTTCAGTAGAATGTAAGGAGGCTATTTTTGCTGTTTGTGTTGCTGGGTTGTTGTCATGTCTAGTTCAGTAGCTAGTGAAGAACATTCAGAATAATCAGGAAGCAGTAAGAACTAGACAGTTGATCTGGAATGGTTTTGTTTGACACAGAGCTAATAATAACTATGTTTTAATGAGAGTTGTTTACTTAGTGGCAATCCTTCATTGTAATGCTTTAGGAGTAAAATTTGGTTTTGTTTTATAGAGATTTCACAACTCAGGGTTCAGTACACTAGAATATTTATCTTTCTGTTGTTAATATATCATTTCATTAAGGATTTCATTAGTGTGGATTAAGCAACAAATAATAATTGGGGGATTCTCTTATATTTTTAGGAACTGTGATAAACCAAGACTGATAGAAGCATTGAAAACAAAACGTATCCGAGATATTGCCTGTGGCAGTTCTCATAGTGCTGCTATTACTTCAAGTGGAGAATTATATACATGGGGGCTTGGTGAATATGGTCGACTAGGACATGGGGACAATACTACACAACTTAAACCAAAGATGGTAAAATCATATGTAGACTTATTTGTTTAAGGACATGTGGAAATAAAAGAGAAGAAAAAACTGTCAAAATACCGTCACTCAAAATGTAGTGAAGAAGCAAATTAAGTCTCCATGTAAGCTTCCTGTGACCCTTGCTTGGATTAGGAGATTTCAAGACAGTTTGTGGCTGTTACAGAAGATAGCTGCTAGGGCTGTCCCTATGTTACAATCTGCAGCTTCCCTTTTCCTCTTAACTTCCTAGTACTGTGACCTTGAAGAAGAGCATGTACACATTTTGGGAAACTACAGTCCATTTTTTTCTTCAGGCCTTAATTGTAACAAATCAATCTATATTGGCCAACAATTTGGGATTTTGAAATGAATACCTTGTTGAATACTTGAAATTAATATGCTTCAGTCCATTTGCTTTCTGTGTTGTAGGTTAAGGTGCTTCTTGGCCATAGGGTCGTTCAAGTTGCTTGTGGAAGCAGAGATGCTCAGACTCTGGCTTTAACAGATGAGGGTAAGAAAGCTATTTACTATTCCTACATTATGACTGTATTACAGTTGCAGTCTTTAATGTAGGTCTGTTTTACTAGGTCTAGTATTTTCCTGGGGAGATGGAGATTTTGGAAAACTGGGTCGAGGAGGAAGTGAAGGATGCAACATTCCTCAGAACATTGAACGGCTGAATGGACAGGGAGTTTGCCAGATTGAATGTGGAGCTCAGTTCTCTTTAGCTCTTACGAAGTCTGGGGTAGTGTGGACATGGTATGTCATGTGTAACATTTTAAAGTCAAATATATAACATTAAATGTGCAAATATTGTTGCTTTTCAAATTGGATTTCTTACCTAATTGTCTTAGACTGAACTAAATTGGTAGAAAAGGCAGAATAGAAATATGAAATATTTTATAACAAATGGTGCACACTATTTATGGGATTAATTAATTACCATCAAGAGTCCGAGATGTCAGCTTCTTCTGTGAATGTTTTCTGTGCAGCATTAAAGAGTGCCTAAATTTCACTGGCTTTATTAATGTCTAGCACTTTACTACTAGTTCTTTGCTTTGATACATATGACCGTGCATAAGATTAATTTGATTTATAAGCCCTTCATGAAAAATGTAAAATAAGATGAATCTGTTTTTTAAACTTGTTGCAAAATCTTTACCCTCATTTGAATGCCATCTCATTGCCTTCTCCTCAGTTGCCGAATCATTTGTACAAACAAAGCAATGAGTGGGGAAGGGAGGTTTGTGTAGAGTATGGCAAAACTATTACAAGATCTCAGCTTCACCTATTCCTTGTTTCCCTTCCACTCAAGTGCAGGCAGAAATCTTCATTTTTATCTCTAGCTTTTCATTTTTGTTTGTTCTAAATGCTTAATGATATCTAGGGGTTCTAAAATTACAATTTGCTGTCCTTAGGGGCAAAGGAGACTACTTCAGGCTAGGACATGGTACTGATGTTCATGTACGAAAACCCCAAGTAGTAGAAGGTCTGAGAGGAAAGAAGATAGTACATGTAGCTGTGGGTGCTCTTCATTGCTTAGCCGTCACAGACACTGGGCAGGTAAGGAAAAAATTCAATTTACTTTGAAGACTATTACTTGGCAATAAAGCCCCATTTAAAACATCATCAACAACAGAGTAACTTTCCTTATTGAGGAAATAATTAAGCTTTTGGCTATAAGTAAGTAAATACTGAAGCATGGAATATAGCAATAAATGGTATGATTAACCATTGCCAGTATTGACTACTTTTTCTTTTTTTTCCCCTCCTTATTAGGCATTACTCCCTTTTTCTAATAGTGTTATAGGATATTTTCTAAGATTTTAAAATGTTTTAATAGCTAAAACACATATGTCATAGACTTTTTGCTATGCAGTTCATTATATCACATTATAAAAGCTAAATAAATCCACATTTTGGAATTACATTTGTCAAGATATTTTTGCTTAAGCTATTAAAAACAATCAGTTTATTTTATTACAGTCTTAAATATTCCAAAACAAAGATATTTACTAATTAATCTTCTCTCCCTTAATTATAGAGATTCAAAATGCCATCAAACAAAACAGAAATCTAAAAACGTAATAAAACCTTTTAAAAAACTCAGTAAATTAAACAGCAACAATATAAACAGTACAGAAATATCACATTCTATTAAAAGGAGATGTTTACCTTTTTGAGGGGAGCAATCCAAGTCCTTGATAGGAAATACAGTTCTCCAGAAACTACCATAGCTGAAAAGAAGCTGTTGTTGAGATATGACTTACTACAAGCATTACTCTGTGTAGAAATGCTGGGTTAAGTAGGTTAATATTTTTCCTGGCATTATTATTCATACTTGCTTAATCTGCATTTTGAGCGTTTTTGACAGCCAGTAGTCTGTCTATATAGATTATTCCTATTCTGTAATTTGTTCTAATGTTGGGTAATAGAACATAAAACATTTTAGAATTATTTATATGCAATTGTCTCATTTTCATAAAGACTAAAAGTTATGGAAAACTTAAGCCTATCTATTGAATGAGATATTTCCCGTGATTTTTGTTTGCTATCCAACTAAAGTAATAAAAACTTTCAAAATGTTGATACCAAAGTCCTTAAACAATTGGTTTGTGAAGTTTGGTGAAGAGACTAAGATATCTCCTATGTACATACATAAGTGTGAAACAAGAATCTACATGCTAAACATTAAATGAATGACATATTAGTTTCTCCTTAATATTTTGAGAGTAGTGTATGTATACTACTGGAAAGGGTGATGTGCAGAATTATTTGATTTATTGACAGGTATATGCTTGGGGTGATAATGACCATGGACAGCAAGGCAATGGGACTACCACAGTCAACAGAAAGCCCACTCTGGTGCAGGGTTTAGAAGGCCAGAAAATAACCCGTGTTGCATGTGGATCTTCCCATAGTGTGGCTTGGACAACAATGGATGTTGCTACACCCTCCGTTCATGAGCCAGTTCTCTTTCAAACAGCAAGAGATCCTTTAGGCGCATCTTATTTAGGTACTATAAAGTTAACATTTCTTTCCTTTAAAAAGATTTATAAGTGGGGCAAGTAGTAGGATAGAGAAATTACAGCTGTGTTTTGGCTTAAGAAGGAAACATCATATTGTTCTTATCAGTATTGTGGGATGTTCCATTAAATGAATGGAATCATGATTCCATAACTCATGAATCAGTTGCCCTCTTACGATACAGTCCAAGTGCTTTCTCCTGTGTAAATGGAAACATAGGCAAAAGGTTATTTAATCCTCTGTATTCTCACTTGGGAAGCAGCAGCCTTATCAGATTTGTTTATGCAGCCCAGCTACTAATCACTGTGTAAAAGCCAAGATGCAGGAAAACAGAATTGATTGAAATGCAAGAGGAAAACTTAGAAAAAGAACTTTGTTGTACATATGTGTGAGAGAAATACAGATGTATCTTGAAAGTTTTAAATTATTAATTTAAAGTTTAGCTTATGTGATAGCCATTGCAATAGTCAGTATTTCTAACGCTGTACTCTTCTTTACTTAAAAATATGTCCTCTGTTAAAAATTAGTTGCTAGCTAGAGCCATACTGACTAGCTAGAATCAAGAAAGAGAAGAGCAGATTGTTTTGTATTGGCCTTGGTTTAAAAATGTATTTGATGCAAAGGCTACTTTGTTCAGGTTCTTTTTCCAAAAATGATTTGGAAATGTGTGAGACATCTTAACGAACAGTTTTATTTTGTAGGCAGCCTCATGTAGTATGTTTAACTGAAGACTAGACAGCCAAATGTGTGTGTTTGTGTGTGTGTATTAATTTAGATTCCTACATGGAGCAGTGAGGAAGACCTGAAATCTTAAATAGACCTTCTTGTTCCATGAATCTATAAATGGAATACATAAATGAAACCTCACACATGTTTAAAACAAATGCATAATGGATTAATTAATTTAATAGTCCAATATAAGATTGTTCCAGGCAAAATCTAAGTTGTAGCACTTACCATAAAGAATATATATGAGGGAGTGTTTATATCAGTGGGGTCAAGCACACAGGTACCAAAGAAGCGAAAAGCTACTAATAAGGAAAAGGGAACAAGTACTGCTGTAAATTAACATTTGATACAAACAGGTTATGAATAGAATTGTCCTAGGGATTTAATCTGTAAATGAGAAGTTGATAGAAAATGTTTTTTTCTTTTTTCAAGTTTTTTTAACTTGAATTTTAATTTTAATTTAATTTTATTTAAATTTAATTAAAATTAAAATTTAATTTAATTTTAAATTTAATAGATGTTTGAAAGCACAACCAAGAGAAAGAGCAGAAAAAGAAATAAAAAAGCAAAAAGAAGTAGAGATTTACAAGCTGTATAAAATTGAATAATTTTTTTTTTAAATAAGTTAATACTGCATATAAAAATAATCTTATATAAATTTGGCACTTCAAAATCATTAATAAAAGCAGATCAATAATTAACAAAAACAGCCAGTACAATAAGAATCATCAATCAGGATGAATCTAAGAGGACAAGCAAGATTTAATATTTTAAAGCCCTGTAATAAGAGAAACCCAAACTTTGAATTCAGCACAAGTCCATAGCAGAAATGTAATCCATAAATGGTTTTCAAATTAACCTAATTTTTGTATTGGACTTGTTTTTCAAATACAAAGTTATTTTTGATGTTGATGCATACTTCCACAACTCAGTCTGCCATTCTTCTAGATAAATAATTATATGTGATTCCAGTAAGAGGCATAAAACATTCTGCCAGCTGTTATAATATAGAAAGTCAACTCCATATACTTTGTAAGGATATAAAATCTGATGATATTTAGCAGAAAAACAATTGACAGGAAGGAGAATTCAGCCTTTAAGATTTGTTTCATTCTGTAATAAATCATCTTCCAGAATTGTTGAGCTTGAAGATCTTTTGTATTCTGCAGGTGTTCCATCAGATGCTGATTCTTCTGCTTCTAGTAATAAAATCAATGGTATAAACAGCTCTAAATCTAACCGACCTTCACTTGCTAAGATCCTTTTGTCATTAGATGGAAATCTTGCCAAGCAGCAGTCATTATCTCATATACTGACAGCATTACAGATCATGTATGCTAGGTAAGCATATATATAAAAATATATATTTAAATGCATTTACAAATTATCAAATTGCTCAGGGATGTTAGCTCTGATTGTCTAACTACATGTAGAAAGTTCTGAAGCAAAACTTATTTAATAACAAATTACATATTTTGAGGTTTATTAGGAAGTCTTTTTCCTATACCTTTTTCTGTGTTTGTGTAAAAATAGCCTGCCTTTGCTGCTTCTGTGGATTGCAGAATTGTGTTCCTGTTGTCTGACTTTTGGGTCTGATGTTTCGAAAATCATAACTGAGCTTGTGCTGTTGAAAGTGTTGATGAATCATTTAAGGTTTGAGCTCAAAAATATTTTCAAAACTCTGCTCTGCTGTGTTTCAAATAATAAAATTTTGGAAAAGAAATGATAGGCTAAATTCTTATGTATTGAACTTTTCTATTGGAAATGTGTGGAATGAGAACCTTCTTTGTGTGCGTGTGTATGTATTTTGCTGTTAAATTGTCATGATTCCAAACTACTACATCAAATGTAATAAAAAAAAAAGAATAATAGGTAAAATAGTAAAGTTAGCATCTCTTCTGCCATATAAGACACCTGCACAATGCAATGGAGGAATCTGTTGAATATTTTTCTTTTGATTTAGAGATGCAGTGGTTGGAGCACTGATGCCTGCAAGTATGATTGCACCAGTGGAGTGTTTGTCCTCATCTCCTGCACCCCCTCCAGACCTTGCTTCCATAGGCAGTGCTCCTAGTATGGATGAAAGCATGATCGGAATTGATGCAGAGGAGAGACAGAGCCCAACACCTTGGCAAGACAGGAGGGCAGAGGTAATCTTTTCCCAGATAAAAGTATGGGAAAGACACTACTGAAAGTAATGTGGTGTCATTGCAATCCAGCCTGTAAGTTTTAAAAACAGTTGTGTAGGATAAATTTACTAAAATAATCAATTCCCAACCATTTAAGAAATATACATTTTAAAATTTCCTAGTTATGTTTTTAGTTTAAATATCTAGGAGAGAAAGGTTCAAAAATTGAATCTGATTTGAAAAGGCCAGTAAAATAAGTAACAGGGCTTATGATGAAGAGATAATAGGAGGAGATTTTAATGAAATATTGGATCCTGAGCTTGTTATAAATACATCAGTAGGGGAAAAACAATCATTAGTGAGGGAAACAATTAAGGTCTATATGGAAGAATTGAATTTAATAGACCCTTGGTGTTTGAGGTACCCAACTAAAAGAGAATATACATTTTATTCAAGTGTGCACCAACATTTTTTTAGGCTTGATTATTTTTTAATATCATCTACTCTATATTATCAGATTCAAGAAAATAATATTGATGTTTGTTCTGTATCAGACCATAGTGCAATTATTTTGAATTGTATGTTTCAGAAACCAGTCAAGGTAATCGAGAAATTGGTATTTCAGTGTCTCCTTGTTGAATGATAAAGAATTTGTAGAACAAATGTGGGTAGAGATTTTGTAATAATACTTTGATTTGAATTCAGAAAATCAGGTACTTGAATTTTTGAATGGGAAGCATATAAACCTTATATCCAAGGTCCAGTTATTGCTTATGCATCATATAAAAATAAGATTAAAAATAAAAGGGAAAACAATTTGAAAGATGAATTGAAACATTTATGGGCACAGATGGTTAGATGCCCATCTACTGAAATACAGAACAAGAAATATGAATTAAATACTATAATATCACAGCAAACAGAATTCATGTTAACATGTTTACGACAGAAATATTGGGAAAAAGCAATCCAGTAAAATTTTGGCTAACCACTTAAAACAAAAGAAAGATAGGGCAATTATTCTAATTATTAGGAGTGAAAGAGATGAAATATATAAAACTTCAAAGGAAATAAATTGTCAATTTTTAAAATTCTGTTCAGAATCATATAGCAAACCAGAGAATATATCGAATGAGGTTATAGAGGCCTTTCTAAATAATACAAACCTATCACACTTAGATGATGCACAAAAACAACTTTTGTTGCTCCATTGTCTGAGGTTGAGATTAAACAAATAATTTTTAAAAAGGCAAGTGGTAAAACACCAGAATTGGATGGATTTCCTATAGAGTGGTATAAAGCATTTACAGATCTTTTGGTGCCAAAACTCTGTCAATTGCATCATGAGAAAATTGATAAGGGAATATTATCAGAGGCATTTAATCAGGCTTATATTGCAATTATACCAAAACCAGGTAAAGATCATACTCATTGTGCTAATTATTGTCCAGTTCCACTGATTAATGTCGATACAAAGATCTTAACAGCAGTGCTAGCAAATAGACTACAGCAAGTGCTACCATTCGTTATTAAGAATGATCAAGCAGGATTTATAAAAACTAGGCAAACAGTAGACAACATTAGGTTAGTTGTAGATTTAATAGACATGAATAAAAATAAAGACCAATTTGTAATTTTATCGTTAGATGCTGAAAAAGCTTTTGACAAAATATATAAACAGTCCATGTTTGCTGTACTAAACAGATTTGGATTTCCTTGGAAATGTATAAAATGGATTAAGATACTATATGAGGCACCCACATCTAAAGTAATGGTTAATGTTATTTTTTTCTGCTACGTTCCCATTATTTAGAGGAACTAGACAAGAGTGTTTCACCCTTGCTTTTTAATGTTTGTGTGGAACCCTTGGCTTATGCTGTTAGACAACATAGGGAAATTTACAGAGTAGTACATAATTCAGTTGAACACAAATTGGTTTTATTTGCAGATGATATCCTTCTGTTTATTTCTAAACCTCATACTACTATTCCAGTGTTGATGCAAATGATAGATGCCTTTAGTAAAATAGCAAGATATTCTATTAACCGGTCCAAATTGGAATTGATGCCAGTAAGTGAAAATTTGGTTACCCATCCATTTAAGGAATATCAATTCTGTATTTGTACTGAATCCATTAAATATTTAGGTATGTGTATATCAAAAGATATAACTCAGTTAATAACACATAAATAAAATATATAAAGAAGTTTCTTCAGATATGGATAGATGAGAGTCATTAAAACTCACTCTTTGGGGAAAGGTGAATGCTTTCAAAATGAATATTATTCTCAGGTTAATTTATATTCTGAAAGGAATTCCAGTTCAAATATCTGGAAAATATTTTCAGAAAGTACATTCTTTGTTTAGAAATTTTTTATGGGATTCTTCGATTCCGAGAATATCTTTACAGAAAATGCAATTTACCAATGAATGAGGGAGGATTCGGTTTTCTGAATCTTATATCATCAGGCTTACCTATTGTCAAGTATTAAATACTGGAAGCCAACAGTTGGTGTTAATTTTCCGATTTGGGCAACATTGGAATATAGATATATAGCACCTTTGGTTGGACGGACGGTATTAGGATCTAAATGCAATAGAACTCTAATATCTCTGGAAATGATTATGTCAGTTAGAAAGCTATGGAATGGAATGTCTAATAAAAAAAGATTTGATCCTTTTTCCCATGCTAAATGACTTTATGGGGGAACCCAACATTAAAAATTGGGAAAAAGATGGTGATATGGAAAAATTGGATGGAAGCAGGGATATTGACTTTGGAATTGATCGATGACGAAGATGAATTTTTAACGTATGCACTGTTAGGAGATAAATATCATCTAGCAAATATAACCCAATGGTAATATTTACAGCTGCAACATTTGTTAACAACATTGTTTGGACCAGCAGAATTTTCAGCTTCTGAGATACCTGAGATACTAGAATAATTTGTTAAATCCTTTTAAACTAAAAAACCTAGTTTTAGCTTTTATAGATATTTGCTATCAATAAATCACTTTGACATGCAGATGTTAAGAGATGAGTGGAATAAAGAATTAGAGCTGTTTATATTACCTAAACAATTGTCTTCTAGCAAGAGTGTCAGGGGACCTTAAACTACAACTTATAAAAAAAAAATAGAGTTTTTTTTAATCAATCACCAGCAATCATCACCGGCAATCATCACCCAGATAAGCAGAGGTTACCACCAGGCACACAATCAAGCAGCAAACTTGTGCTAATTAAAGAACTACCAGAAGAGCAAAACAAAACCCCCACCCTTACCAGCACTGGCAAAGCAGGCCACAGCACATAAATAGAGAGCAAACCCCATCCCATTTTAG